TAGATTATTAAATACAGTTTTCTGTGGGCGAGCAAATGGCGACTACTGGGTGGCATATGTCCTGTATCAGAAACTAGAGCTGATGTGGTCTATCCAATGCAGTGGTTCCCAAACAATGGGCCGCGAGAACAATACTCCGGTCCACAAATCTCCTTCCTCTTTATTTATTTACCCCATTTCCACTCCTTTCTGCAGAGCTGACCAGCCCAGACCCTTTTGGTACTAATGTTGGAGAGTGGTCCGTGGCCAAAGTGGTCCCTGGTCAAGTAGTCCCTGGTGAAGTGGTCCCTGAGACCTTTCTCCCACCGAGGTCTACCTCAGACTGACGGCTTACTAACTCTAATAGGCTTCGGCCTACTCACTCTCCTCAGGACGACACTAGCTTTGGGTCGCTGACTCTAACAGACTTCGAGCTCGACTCTCATTTAGTAATTAAAAATACCTAGTTAATTTTTTAATATTTCTGACTGTTGAGAGGGGAGAGGCTGAGTACATACGAAATATTACTAGTACCACATCAGCTCTAGATTATTAAATATGGTTTTCTGTGGGCGAGCATTTATTTATTTACTCCATTTCCACTCCTTTCAGAGCTGACCCCTGGTCAAAGTGTTTCCTTGCAAATGAAAGCTCCTAAGTCTCTCCAGATGTTGTTGGGACTAAAAATCCCCGCAATTTTCTGAATCAGCACCCCAAATAACCAAACCGACTCTAGTTGACCAAAAACTGATTCATAACTCTTTTATAATATAGTTTTTTTTTCCTTTATGTAATTTTGATGATGTTTATTGTTTATGCTTTGGTTTTATCTTGTTGTAATATGTTGTCCGGGCTTGGCCGCATGTAAGCTGATCCGAGTCCCCATTGGGGAGATGGTGGCGGGGTATAAATAAAGTTTATTATTATTATTATTTTGGTAATAGTTGGAGAGTGGTCCCTGGTCAAAATAGCCACTGTTGGGAACCATTGATCCAACGCAATTTTTTGAATCAGCACCCCAAATAACCAAACCAAAAGTGTACCAAACACTGATTCATAATTCTTTTGGTACTAACATTGGAGAGTAGTCCCTCGTCAAAGTGGTCCCTGGTCAAAAAAAGGTTGGGAACCACTGATCCAATGCAATGTTCTGAATGGGCTCCCCAAATAACCAAACCAAATCTAAACTTGACCAAAAACTGAATCGTAAACCCTTTTTTGTGTGTGTGTCAGGAGCAACTTGAGAATGCAAGTCGCTTCTGGTGTGAGAGAATTGGCCGTCTGCAAGGACGTTGCCCAGGGGATGTTTTTACCATCCTTGTGGGAGGCTTCTCTCATGTCCCCTCATGGAGAGCTGGAGCTGACAGAGGGAGCTCATCCACACTCCCCCTGGATTCGAACCTCCGACTTGTGGATCAACAGTCCTGCTAGCATAAGAGTTTAACCCAGGGGTCCTCAAACTATGGCCCAGGGGCCGGATACGGCCCTCCAAGGTAATTTACCCGGCCCTCGCTCAGGGTCAACCTAAGTCTGAAACAACTTGAAAACACACAATAATAATGCTATCCCATCAGCTAAAAGCAGGCCCACACTTCCCATTGAAATACTAATAAGCTCTAACCCTTTTGGTAGTAATGCTGGAGAGTGGTGCCTGGTCAAAGTGGTCCCTGGTAAAAAGAAAAAAAAAGTACCATGATACCATGCAATTTTCTGAATCAGTACACCAAATAACCAACTCGAATCTAACGTTGACTAAAAACTGATTCGTAGCCCTTTTGGTACTAATGTTGGAGAGTGGCCCTTGGTTAAAATGGTCCTTGGTCAAAAAATGCTTGAGAAGCACTGATATCTATATAAATAAAAATGTAATGTTAGTTTGTGGGATTAACATAACTCAAAAACCGCTGGACGAATTGCGGCCAAATTTGGCCACAAGACACCTACTAACCCAAGGAGTGACCATTACTAAAAAAAATGAGTTTGTCATTTGGGAGTTGTAGTGGCTGGGATTTATAGTTCATCTACAAAGAGCATTCTGTACTCCACCAATGATGGAATTGAACCAAACGTGGCACACAGGACTCCCATTTTTTATTTTTGTCGTGTCAAGAGCAAGTAGCTTCTGGTGTGAGAGAATTGGCCGTCTGCAAGGACGTTGCCCAGGGGACACCTGGATGATTTGATGTTTTTATCATCCTTGTGGGAGGCTTCTCTCATGTCCCCGCATGAGGAGCTGGAGCTGATACAGGGAGCTCATCCACCTCTCCCCGGATTCGAACTTGCGACCTGTTGGTCTTCAGTCCTGCCAGCACAGGGGTTTAACCCACTGCGCAACCGGGGGCTCCTAGGACTCCCATGACCAACAGAAAACACGAGAAGGGTTTGGTGGGCATTGACCTTGAGTTTGGGAGTTGTAGTACACCTCCATCCAGAGAGCACTGTGGACTCAAACAAGGATGGTTCTGGACCAAACTCGGCACAAATACTCCATATGCCCAACTAGGAACACAAATGGAGCTTGGGGGAAATAAACCTTGACATTGGGAGTTGTAGTTACTGGGATTTATAGTTCACCTACAACCAAAGAGCAGTCTGAATCCCATGAACGATAGAATTGGGGCAAGTTTCCTACACAAAACCTCTATAACCAATAGAACAGTGGTGCTCAACCTGGGTTCCCCAGATGTTTTTGGCTACAACTCCCAGAAATCTCAGCCAGTTTACCAGCTGTTAGGATTTCTGGGAGTTGAAGGCTAAAAACATCTGGGGAGCTCAGGTTGAGAACCACTGCAATAGAAAATACTTAATGCCATCCAGTCCAACTCCCTTCACGAGGGCAAGAAACATAATCAAATACTGTTTACCCACAAGCAGAAAGAAATTACATATATTAGAAACCAGCACTTTCTCATTACTTTATTTTCCACAGCAACGCCTGGCAGGGAATGGCTAGTAATCTATAATTAAAAATGTGATGTTCGTTTGTGGGATTAACAGAACTCTAAACCCACTGGATGAATTGACACCAAATTTGGACACAAGACACCTAACAACCCAATGTATGTCCTTCACTCAAAAAAATTGATTTTGTCATTTGGGAGTTGTAGTTGCTGTGATTTATAGTTCTCCTGCAATCAAAGAGCATTCTGAACCCCACCAATGATGGAATTGAACCAAACTTGGCACAGAGTTCTCCCATGACCAACAGAAAATACTGGAAGGTTTTGGTGGGCAGTGTCCTTTGGTTTTGGAGTTGTAGTTCACCCACATCCAGAGAGTACTGTGGACTCAAACAATGTTGGATCTGGACCAAACTCTACACGAATACTCCATATCCCCAAATGTGAACACTGGTAGAGTTTGGGGGAAATAGAATCTTGCCATTCGGGAGTTGTGGTTGCTGGGATTTCTAGTTCACCTCCAATCACAGAGCATTCTGAATCCCAACAACGATAGAATTGGGCCAAACCTCCCACACAGAAACCCCATATCGACCACAGCAACGCGTGGCAGGGGATGACTAGTATAATATACTAGCGGTCCCCTGCCACGCGTTGCTGTGGCCCAGTCTGGTGAACTGGAAAATAAAGTAATGAGAAAGTGCTGGTTTCTAATATATGTAATGTCTTTATGCTTGTGGGTAAATAATATTTCTTGCTGTTTCTTTGTCAGTGTTGATGTGGAGATTGTCTGGTTTGCCTACTCAGGAACATGCAACATATAATTATCCTTCTTTAGGGGCCCCTTTCAAATCTTTGATACTACATCTGCCATATACATATATATGTGTGTGTGAATGGCTGGATGGCCCTTTGTCAGGAGGGCTTTGATTATGTTTTCTTGCCCTGGTGAAGGGAGTTGGACTGGATGGCCTTAAGGCAGCATTTCTCAACCTCGGGTTTTGGACTCTTGGTGGGGAATTCCGAGGGGGTGTCAGAAGGGTTGCCAAAGACCATCAGAAAACACAGTATTTTCTGTTGGTCATGAGGATTCTGTGTGGGAAGTTTGCCCCAATTCTGTCGTTAGTGGGGTTCAGAATGCTCCTTGATTATAGGTGAACTATAAATCCCAGTAACTACAACTCCCAAATGTCAAGGTCTATTTCCCCCAAACTCCATCTCTGTTTATATTTGGGCATATTGAGTATGCCCAAATACTCAATCTGGACCAAACTTTTGCTTCCAAGTTTGGTCCAGATCCATCATTGTTTTGAGTCCACAGTGCTCTCTAGATGTAGGTGAACTACAACTCCAAAACCCAAGGTCAATGCCCGCCAAACTCTTTTAGTGTTTTCTGTTGATCAGGGGAGTTCTGTGTGCCAAGTTTGGTTCAATTCCACTATTGGTGTTCAGAATGCTCTTTGATTATAGGTGAACTATAAATCCCAGCAACTACAACTCCCAAATGACAAAATCATAATTTTTTGAGTGATGGTCACTCCTTGTGTTGTGAGACGTTTTGTTGCCAAATTTGGTGTGATTTCATTCATTGGTTCTTTTGTTTTTAAGGTACTCATTATGCACAGAGCATTTTTATATATATAATAGATAGATAGATAGATAGATAGATAGATAGATAGATTTGGATGGAGTTACACTTTTAAAATGTACCCACAAGCAGAAAGAAATTACATATATTAGAAACCAACACTTTCTCATTACTTTATTTTCCAGATCACCTGACTGGGCCACAGCAACGCCTGGCAGAGAATGGCTAGTAATATAATATATACATTTGGATGGAGTGACACTTTTAAAATGTAAAGGAATTACATATATTAGAAACCAGCACTTTCCCATTACTTTATTTTCCACAGCAACGCCTGGCAGGGAATGGCTAGTAATATAATATATACATTTGGACGGAGTGGCACTTTTAAAATGTACCTGTTCTGACTTCCATAGGTGTTCAACTTAAGAGCAAGGCTACAGACCCGGTCTTGTTCGTAACTCGGGGACTGCCAGTCCTGCCTTTGGGGGCCTAGAAGAGGCCCCTCGTGGATACTCTTTCTCTCTGCTTACCTGCTCGGTGTTCTCCGTCAAGGTGGGCAAGGGGCTCCGTCCGCTGTTGGACATGGCTGCCTGTGGCAGGGCCTGAGGGGCGGTGGCCCCCCCAGTTGCTGCTGCCTCCTTCCTCTTTCCTGCTTCCTGGCCCAAAGGGAAGGAGCCTGGTCCCTCTTCTTCTTCCTCCTCAAGGCGAGGGGGGAGGCCAAGCCACCAGCATGGGGAACAACCAGGCTCGGTTGGGAAAACACCAGTATAAGAGCTCCCCCCTTCCCCGGGCTCGAGTGAAGGATGCCCGGCTTGACGTTTCACGCAAGGCCGGGGATGCGGCTCGGGAGCTAGGCCGCACCGGTCCGAAACCTCCCAACGGAGGGACCCTGTCAACCAAAGTCAATGCCGGGCTCTTGCGAACAACTCCGACGCCCGCCTTGGCCTCCCAGGCCGGGCACGGACTTCCCCTTCCCTTCGCCGCCCCGGTGCCCGAGCTCCACTCACCGCCGCTCTGCTTCACACAGCGGCGGCTCCCAACATGGCCGCCGCCGCCGGGCTTCGGGAAGTTCCGCCGACTTTCCGGAAACGCACGATCTAGGCGGAAAAAATCCCACGGTGTACGGAAAGAGCCGAAAAGGGCTGGACAAAGTTGATTGGTCCACGAAAGGCAGGCGGGGGCGTGGCCAAAGCTTTGGCACTGAAAGAGGGCAACTTCGAGAAAACCTTCCCCAAGCGGTTTGGAAAGGAGGCGGAAATAGCCGAACAGGTTTCGGCTCGCATAATACGGAAATAGCCGAGCGAGTGTACGGAAACAACCGAATGAGTACTATCGAAACTGCCTTCTGGTTCATGAACCTGGGATGCAGGAAACAGGCAGGGATCCTCCGCCCCCTTGTGGCCAGTGACTGACACTGCAGGCGCACAATACGGAAATAGCCGAGCGAGTTGAGCTCAGAGTGTACGGAAACAACCGAATTAATCATATTGAAGCTGCAGGAAACAGGCGCCCCCTGGTGGCCAGAGACCGACACTGCAGGAAGGACCAAAACTAATAATAATAATAATAATAATAATAATAATAATAATAATAATAATAATAATAATAATAATAATAATAATAATAAGGACTGCAATCATAGAATCAAAGAGTTGGAAGAGACCTCATGGGCCATCCAGTCCAACCCTATTCTGTCAAGAAGCAGGAATATTGCATTCAAATCACCCCTGACAGATGGCCATCCAGCCTCTGTTTCAAAGCTTCCAAAGAAGGAGCCTCCACCACACTTGGGGCAGAGAGTTCCACTGCTGAACAGCTCTCACACTCATGGGCCATCCAGTCCAACCCCATTCTGCCAAGAAGCAGGAATATTGCATTCAAAGCACCCCTGACAGATGGCCATCCAGCCCCTGTTTAAAAGCTTCCAAAGAAGGAGCCTCTACCGCACTCCAGGGCAGAGAGTTCCACTGCTGAACGGCTGTCACAGTCGTGGGCCGTCCAGTCCAACCCCATTCTGTCAAAAAGCAGGAATATTGCATTCAAATCACCCCCGACAGATGGCCATCCAGCCTCTGTTTAAAAGCTTCCAAAGAAGGAGCCTCCACCACACTCCGGGGCAGAGAGTTCCACTGCTGAACGGCTGTCACAGTCAGGGCCGTCCAGTCCAACCCCATTCTGTCAAAAAGCAGGAATATTGCATTCAAATCACTCCCGACAGATGGCCATCCAGCCTCTGTTTCAAAGCTTCCAAAGAAGGAGCCTCCACCACACTCCGGGGCAGAGAGTTCCACTTCTGAACGGCTCTCACAGTCAGGAAGTTCCTCATGTTCAGATGGGATTTCACCTCCAGATAGGCCCAAAATGCCGTTGTAATAGGATCCAATGGGATTTCTAATCCACATAGGAGCAAACCTGGACTCTAATAGGACTGAAATTGGATTTATATCCCAAAAGGGGCTCTAATAGGACTAAAATGGAGTTTCTAATCCAGATATTACCAAACTGGGGCTCTGAAATGGGATTTCTGATCCACAAAGGGCCAAAATTGGGCCCCTCATAGGACTAAAACGGGATTTCTAAACCAAATAGGACTATTATTATTATTATATGCTTTTTATTATCAGATTTTTAAAATGTTGATTATAATTTTTACATCGAAAGTTGTAAAGCCATCTAGAGTCCCCTTTCGAGTGGAGAAAGGCGAGGAATGGTAAATAAATTATTATTATTATTATTATTATTTAGTTGTACTAGCTAGCATTTTAATTTATTATTATTCTTTAGATGAGAGACAGGGCCTTCTCGGTGGTGGCCCCTCAGCTGTGGAACTCCCTGCCCAAGGATATTAGATCGGCCCCCTCCCTCCTGGCCTTTCAGAAAAGATCGAAGATCTGACTTTTTGAGAAAGCGTTTCAAACTTCAGTGTGATTAGATGGCTAAGACAAATGTAAACAGATGAGAATTGAACCGGAAAATATTGGTTTTATAGATTTATATAGTTTTTATTGCTTTTATGTTTTTATATGTATTTATGATGTAATTTAATTGCTTTTAACTTATATATATATATATATATATATATACACGGCATCTAATTGTGCTGGTTCTATATATTTTTATTATTTATTTTCTCATTTTTATTTATTTATTTATCTTTAAAATTATTGATTATTATAATTGGATTTTTATTTATTTCTATTTCTATTTATTTTATTTATTTTATTATTTATTTATCTTTATCATTTTTATTATTACAATTAGATTTTTATTTGTTTCTATTCCTTTTTATTTTTATTATTTATTTTATTGTTTTTATTTATCTATCTTTATCATTATTTATTTTTATTATTTATTTTATTATTTTATTCATTTATTTATCTTTATCATTATTTATTATTATAATTAGATTTTTATTTATTTCTATTTCTATTTATTTTTATTATTTATTTTATTATTTTTATTTATTTATCTTTATCATTTCTTTTTATTATTTATTTTATTATTTTTATTTATTTATCTTTATCATTTTTATTATTATAACCAGATTTTTATTTATTTCTATTTCTATTGATTTTTATTATTTAATCTATTATTTATATATCTTTATCTTTATTTATTATTATAATTAGATTTTTTATTTCTAATTCTATTTATTTTTATTATTTATTTTATTTTTATTATTTATTTATTTATCTTTATCATTATTTATTATTATAATTATTTTTTATTTATTTCTATTTCTATTGATTTTTATTATTTATTTTATTATTTTTATTTATTTATCTTTATCATTATTTATTATTATAATTAGATTTTTATTTATTTCTATTTCTATTAATTTTTATTATATAATCTATTATTTATTTATTTATCTTTAATCATTATTTATTATTATAATTAGATTTTTATTTATTTCTATTTCTATTGATTTTTATTATTTGTTTTATTATTTTTATTTATTTATCTTTATCATTATTTATTTTATTATTTATTTATCTTTCTTTATTTATCTTTATCATTATTTATTATAATAATTAGATTTTTATTTATTTCTATTTCTATTTCTTTTTATTATTTATTTTATTATTTTTATTTATCTTTAACATTATTTATTATTATAATCAGATTTTTATTTATTTCTATTTCTATTTATTTATCTTTATTTAGTTATTTATTTATCTTTATAATTATTTATTATTATAATAATTCGATTTTTATTTCTTTCTATTTCTATTTATTTTATTATTTTCATTTATTTCTATTTCTATTTATTATTTATTTTATTATTTTTATTTATTTATCTTTATAATTCTTTATTTTATTTTTTATTTTACTATTTTATTTTTTCATTTTTCATTTTTTTATTATTATTATTTTATTTAAAACTGGATTCTAATTGAACTGAAATGGGAATTATAATCCAGATAAACCCAAATGGGGCACTAATCTATTATTATTAATAGATTAATTATTATTATTATTAATAGATTAATCTATTATTAGAGGAATAGGACAAATAGGCAGTCTCTGAGGATGTAACACGAGCACCTGCTTGTCCTATTTTGATGGATTCATTTCAATTGGTGAAGCCCGAGGATGTGGACAAGATACTTGGAGGAATGAGGCCTACCACGTCCATCCTAGACCCCTGCCCATCCTGGCTTCTAAAGGAGGCCAGAGGGGGATTGGCTGAGTGGGTGAAGGTGGTGGTTAATGCCTCCCTTCGGGAAGGCAAGATTCCAGCGAGCTTAAAACAAGCTATAATAAAACCGCTGTTGAAGAAACCATCACTGGACCCCACTAAATTCGACAACTATCGGCCAGTTTCCAATCTCCCCTTCTTGGGCAAAGTCTTGGAACGTGTGGTGGCCTCACAACTCCAGGTATTCTTGGTAGACACAGATTATCTAGACCCGGCACAGTCTGGCTTTAGGCCGGGACATGGTACCGAGACAGCCTTGGTCGCCTTAGTGGATGATCTGCGCCGGGAGCTCGACAGGGGGAGTGTGTCCCTGTTGGTGCTGCTGGACCTCTCAGCGGCCTTTGATACCGTCGACCACGGTATCCTTCTGGGACGCCTCGCGGGGATGGGTCTTGGAGGTACTGTTTTGCAGTGGCTCCGGTCATTCCTGGAGGGCCGCTCCCAGAAGGTGTTGTTGGGGGACACCTGTTTAACCCCACAACCATTGTCTTGTGGGGTTCCTCAGGGCTCAATAATGTCTCCCATGTTGTTTAACATCTACATGAAGCCGCTGGGGGAGATCATCCGGAGTTTCGGGGTACGGTGTCATCTGTACGCGGATGATGTCCAACTCTGTCACTCCTTTCCACCTGCTACTAAGGAGGCTGTCCAGGTCCTGAACCGGTGCTTGGCCGCTGTGACGGTCTGGATGAGGGCAAACAAATTGAAATTGAATCCAGACAAGACAGAGGTACTCCTGGTCAGTCGCAAGGCCGAACAGGGCATAGGGTTACAGCCTGTGTTGGATGGGGCCGCACTCCCCCTGAAGACGCAGGTTCGCAGCTTGGGTGTGACCCTGGACTCATCGCTGAGCCTGGAACCCCAGGTTTCGGCGGTGACCAGGGGAGCATTTGCACAGCAAAGCTTGTGCGCCAGCTGCGCCCGTACCTTGGGAAGTCTGACTTGGCCACGGTAGTCCACGCTCTGGTTACATCCCGTTTAGACTACTGCAACGCTCTCTACGTGGGGTTGCCTTTGAAGACAGCTCGGAAGCTCCAACTAGTCCAACGCTCGGCAGCCATGATTTTAACAGGAGCGGAGCGCAGGGAGCATACAACCCCCCTGTTGCGCCAACTCCACTGGCTACCGATCTGCTACCGGGCTGAATTCAAAGTGCTGGCGTTGGCCTTTAAAGCCCTAAACGGTTCCGGCCCAAGCTACCTATCTGACCGCATCTCTGCCTATGAACCCACCAGGAGTTTGAGATCTTCCGGGGAGACCCTGCTCTCGATCCCGCCTGCTTCTCAAGCTCGGCTGGCGGGGATGAGAGATAGGGCCTTCTCGGTGGTGGCTCCTCGGCTGTGGAACGCCCTTCCTACGGACA